AGAACACGGGGTTTATTCCCAAGGTGGGGCAGGGGGGGAAAACCAACAAACCTAAGGAGCTCCATTTCGGTTTTTTATTTGGTGTTTCCCCCACTCAAAATGAATCTCAGTAAGAAAACTAGACAGAAAACCTCAGAATAGAACAAACCTGTCAGACTCCTTAACGTTCACTGCAAGACAAAATTAATTATTTTTAATGCATACTAAACCACACTGAACATAGAGCAAAGAGTGTGCATCTCTCTAATCCCTCTCTTTCTGGCTCTGCCAAGTCTGTAAAAGATTTATTTCCCTTACCAGCAGGTTTGAGTCTTACACTTCCCATTACTCCACACAAATGACAATGCTGAAATACCACTAGCTATTGATACAGTACTGCTACATGCATAACCTTGATAAAGCACCCATAGAGACTGAGGTCTGTATGCTTCTATACTTTCCAAAATGAGTGAGCAAAGTCAACAAGCCTTGTTCTCCATGTTATTTCACAAAGCTATTCTAATCAAATACTGCGTCAGCAGAATCTAAGAACAAGAGGATTTTGAATCATAGCGTTATTTTGCATTTTCAAAATACACGAGCCCCTCTGACTGCTATGGTAGTATGGAGGGTCATAAATAACAAAGGATCAGGGCTTGCAACCAAAGACTCCTGTGCAGATCTCAAGAGACACCTGAAGGAATGCCTAGCCCAGCAGTTCTTATGAAATCTCCTAATACTCACGAGGATAAAAATTAGTCTTTTGGCTAGCAGATGAGTCTGATAACAACAGAAGAGCGACACAGCTAGTGAAGACCACTAGTAAAAACCACAAATATCACCTTGAAGGGAAAGAGACCACATACTAAGCAGCTGAGCAATGGAAAGACTAGAAGCTATGTTCAGAAAAAATATCTGCCTTTCAAGTAGATCTTTTGGAAGAGTCCTTATTCCCTGCACCGTTACATTCAGACCATCCTGACTATCAGCACCTGTGTACTTTATCTATGATTTAACTTGTTAACTGCAGAAAGGAAGGGAATGAATCGCCATTACTGCAGCAAGTCTGGTGGAGAAGGGTAAAGCATAACACAAGCGGTCAAAATGTGCATTGCAAATTTTCAAAATACAAGACTTAAGTGTCCTGTCTGGAGTTAGAACAGAAGTATAAGATCCCTTTAAAATGGTTTGCATGCAAAATAATTTTATTAGGGCAATTATATGAAATATTTTATTTAAAATATGAAATCCAACAAACACAGCCCCAGGAATACCCCCAAGAGAGCCCAAATCTGTAATGTGAATGCCCTAAGACTGCTACCACTTGAATTACGAGAGCATTTCCCTCCCTACACATACCAGCCAAACAAACTGTGCACAGAAACCCATCAGTGAACCACTGTATTCAATTCAGAGGTTTCTTCTGACTAGAGGAAGGGAGCACCACTCCTAACAATGGATCACTGGAAGGCTTTGCAGTGCAGCAGAATGGAAAACTGTGTGCAGGCGACGTACAGAACATCCTCCTCATCCAGCACAAAGGTGGGTCTGTGTTTCACTGGACATTTAGTTCTAGGGTTCTACCTCCTCCTGAAAAAACTCAGGTTTCTGCTACTCTAGGATTATCCACATTGTTGCTCCTTTTAAGAGTAGCATAAAAGCTTCAAGATCTTTAAGTTTTAAGAGGGGTTTTTAACATTTGAGATATTATTATATAGCTGTGAAACTTATTAAGCTTTGTAATTTTTAATCTGTAGCTTCATAAACAGAGTAATAAATGCACTTGGAGAAGCTTCTGAATTAGGAAGACAGTGTGGTGAATTAACTCACTTTGTAAGCGTTGTTTTGGCTGCTTTTTTATTATATAAAGATAGATATTTTTGCTATTTTCTACAATTCTAAGATAAAAACCCCACCCTTCTTACCCCAGCTATCAGTTTTTCCCACTCACTAACACTCTTCATGTAACAATTTAAAAAAAAAAAAATCCTTTGTTTACATTTGTGTAAACAAATGTGTTTCACAAAAGTTTGGGGAAACTGTGGAAGTTCAGACCTGCAAAAAAGTAGAAATAAAGACAACTAAAGGCTCATACCTTAAATTCTGACACATTGGCCATCTTTCATAATACAGCACTTATGTACAGCAACCTCCTTCTTCACCACCACCTGCTGTGAGACAGTGCCAGACCTACACTTTACCTCAGTGCAGCACCTTACCTAACTCAGAGACTGAAGTATTTATGAACATCTCAGACATTTCCTAGCTGCACTTTTGCACTTCCACAACTGTCTTTCAAGAACCTCTGCATTCTGAATTTCTGTAGTCCAAAACACAGTTGCAGGATTCTGCTTGTATTTTGGAAGCAGAATTTCATGGCATGTTTCATACCCTGCCTCTGTTGTCACTGGGACTTTCAGATACCTGTGAACTTACCTATTTTCTCATCTCAAAGTACTTGGCTTTTTCCCTGGAATTATCAACTCTTAAAAACATTTTCATATCTTTCCCAGTTCTAGATTTTAATGGGTTTTAAAATGTGAATAAAGTTCTACCTCACAATATGAAAATCCAGTGGAAAAACACAAGGAATAGTTCAAGTAATTTTGCACCCCTCCCCCTGGCCTTGATTTCAAGTATAGTATCGGGAAAAGAATCTGTAGTAATCTCCCACAAGCAGCACCTCTGCTAAGTTACACAGTTTTGCTCTTATAAAGAGCATTGTCATTTCAAATGCAGCAAAAATGCAGCATCCATAGTAGCTAAAGCTTTTGCCTCTTTCACAGAGCAGTAGGCTTCTCCACACAAGGCCCAGGAAGGGTCCTGTCTAAAAAGAGTTCAGATACAAGGACAGCAACAGCTATAGCAGAGCACTCAGGTTTTCTGGATCTCCCTGCTACAAGCACAGACACACTCAACTCTTTAGTACATAGCAGGGAGGAGTAGAAACTGAAAATAATACACAGAGACTTTGAGGTGGAATATGACAATGTAGAATGAATCCTGTTGGAAATACTGATTTTTAAATTAATAGCTACTGAGCATTCTTGCAAAACAAAGTTTGGAAGGTTAGCTGTTGAGCCCCAGCCACGGCAATACCCATATTCTTGCAATACCTAGGGCTACCAGCTTTGCTCAGCTCTTCTGCCTTTCCACAGCTGACTTTCACTTTCAGGGTTTATAGTATTTTCTTTCTCTCTTCCTTTACCCCCACCACTGCTTATTAAATAACTTCAGAGATCAGACTGCTTTAAGATGCCAAAAAGAAAAAGCATGCTTGTGTTACAATCAGAGAGGATTTCCACATACCAAAACACATTCCACATACTCGATCAATAGGTATTACGTACACACACCCATTTGTACACATGGCAGTTCAAAGTATAAAATTAATTTTAATGTGCTAAAAAATATCCAATCCAACTTAAAAAAAAAAATTAAATAAGGATCAGTTACACCTGATGAACCTTTGCTCATGTGCCTAGTTGCAAGTCACACAGAAACTAAAAGAAACAGAGGGGAAGGAATTCAGATAATAGAGAAAGTGAGAAAATCCTCAGGAATGCATGGCTGCTACTCAGTCATTTAAACAAAGACAAATAACCCTAATGCACTAGTAAAGTGAATTAATAAAGACCAGTAATGTAAAGTCTCCTTCACCAACACAAAATGAGGGGGAAAAGAGCTGAAGAGGTATATCTTTTTCCCTGTGGCATTAGATGCTTAACAGAGCTGCTCTGTTCATGCCTATCATAAAAAGGGATTGGTTTAAAACTAGAAATAATACACACTTTATATTTAGCTTGTTATTCCAAGAACCTTGTCTAGAAAAATGACATTTTTATCCTATCACAAGTCCATGATGATTCATAAGCAACCTTAAATCCTTACAAAGGAAGATCTATGTTGCTCTGCCCACCCTTATGACAAATCTGTAGTTTAGCTTTCTTTACATTAAACCCACATATCTGCCTGATTTGCTGAAAAAAGGCATATTTAATTGAACAGCTTTTCCACAGCTTACTGAATTTAGCAGTATCATACAATAATCCAGACACAAAGTATACTTTAACTGAAATAACTGTACAGTATAGTACACTGTTACAAATTTAATCAGCCAGAAACAGGTAGTGGAAGCAGTATACTAGAAAAAGGTTTATTAGTAGATTAGTAATATATTCATAAAAAATAAGCTGATGAAAAACAAACCTGGCTCAGTGAGCTAAAAATTAACCACAATCTGAAATAATTGGCACGCTTTTCAGGCAAGTACCATTCTCACATACAAGTCTGAGATGTAACAAAAACCCTAAACCAACAGGTCTGCATAATTACAATCACAGCAAAACCAACAGAAAACTTCAATTTAAACTATAACACCGGGGTAAATGTAAACAGGGGCAATGAGATGTCCTTCACAACCAGTGCACCACTGTAAGTCCTTCTGTTGGTATCACAGTCACCTGTGGATTCATTTCTTTGATCCTAATAAATGTTTTTGTTTACTAACACTGAAAAAAGGTCCAAAATTACTCCAGAATTTGGAGGGAGAAGAGGGTGAAGCAAAGTGGTTATTAATTTCCAATGTAGAAAATAATTCTTCTCCTTTAAGCATTTTTCCTTGTACCAGCCTTACTGGCACAGGTCAGCTTTATGTACAGCATATTCGGTTTGTTAAGAAACAGTATGAAAAACGTATTTGAATATGTTGCTAGACCAGCCTACTACAAAGAGGTTTTCTCAGCAAGTTTATTAGCTTTTCACACGTGCATAAACGTGACAATTCATAGGACTAAGTTTTTTCAAGAATTAGGGGTTAAAATGCCCCAGTTTAGAATGAAATTATACAACCCGTGCTAACAAAGGATTAAGTTGACAAAAACTAGTAAAAACATAGCTAAATACATGTAATCTCTTATACAATTTAAGAGACTAGAATTTTGCATGTCAGTGTCCTAAAGAAGGGTAAATGAGTAACTTCATCCCTGCTGACCACAGGGGAAGTAAAAAAATTAACTTACCTTTAACACTTTTTCTGTTAACATCAGCTCCTTTTTCAAGTAAATACTGAGCAATTTCTTTGTGGCCTTTGTAACATGAGATCATCAGGCATGTATGTCCATGACGGTTTGACACTTCCAGGTCTGCTTTGTGCTCCACCAGATATTTTACTATTTCCAGGTGACCATCAAAACAGGCAGCTCTAAGCGGTGTTGAATTTGTCAGAGTTGTATTGTTGACAGATGCACCATGATCTAACAGACACTGAACCACCCTCAAGTGGCCAGCTGCAGATGCTGCCCATAATGGCGGAGCCCCCTCAATGGTCTCACCATCAAAATTCACCGAACCACCAACTTCTATTGATGCAGAGCAATGGTCCAACAAGTATTCCACCATGTCAAGGTGACCATAACGGGCTGCCATCAGAAGTGGTGTAGCACCATTGGTTTTCTCTGACATCAGTAGAGCTATCTCTTCTCTTGTTTTGCTTGCCAGTAACTTGGAAAGGAGCCGCAGCTTGCCATCACGAGCTGCGTTGAACACTGCTGTCTTTAGATCCATTTAGTCTCTACCTCTCTGCTTCTTGAAGGATACACACCTGCCTTTTTCAGGGTCACAAGCTTAGGAAACACACAGCGCAAACAGAATGTCCCCAGCTTCTTCTCAGATCGGTTTCATTTAGATGGGACAACATGAAGGCTCTGAACAGTGTCCTGACAAAGCGCAGGCTGCACTTGCTACAGATCTACAAGAAAAATAATTCTGCATGTTTTCACCTCCTACTTCGGAAACAAGCAACCACAACCGTATTTTTCTACGGCTATACCCAAACAACCTGTGGGGTACAGCTAGTGACCTGTCCTCCAGCTGCCTTCCCTGGGACCCCCCGCACTGTGCGCTGTCACCCAGGAAACCGGGG